TCGACACATTTAGTTCCAGATTTTAGTTGTCTTGTGGCGAAGGTCAAATGCTGGTTCAAGATCAAGAATGTTGAGGACATCGTCTGATTCATCTACCTCCATGATCCGCAATTTCATAAGTGGTCGTCGAAGCGTACCGACTCTCTACTGGAGTGTTGTGTCCTTAGAAGCATAGATAGAATTATTTTTTTATTACGACTACCAAAAATTCTTAATTAATGACCATCGCTGAAAAATCTTTATTGGCCAGTTTAAAGCGACAAATTTATGCTCAAACAGTATATAAGCGAATGTACATTGATCGATGCTGCAAAATCCGGCGCGCTTGGATCACACATACGTCATAACCAAATTAGGATCGAAATATATTAATCACATGCCAAATTCGCATATGAGCACCGTTACACTACAATTATGTTAAAGTAGTATTTTAAAACCAATTATGAGTTCACTTCGGTGGCCAGTTTTTTTGCAGTTTCCCTCGCGGGAATTTTCTGAAGCCGGTCGCAAGCCGGCTCTCGGTCTCTTCCACGTTCTGGGATACACTGCGGTTCAAACCGGTGTCGACCGCCTTGGCGTTGCGGAAAGGACTCCTCGCTTGTCTCTGGTGTTGTGTGTCCTGGCCGGAGGCACGCTGCTCCATTTCGACCATGGACGACTGATAGTAGCTCACACTGGTGGTGGTCGTTTGCTGCTTTATCTGTGAAATGTTGTCTTGCCCTTCGTTGCCCAATCCTTGGGCCTGAAACATGGCCCGTTTAGTGGGCACCGGGGGTGGCTGCTTTTTAGCAGCTTGCTGCACCTCTACTTGAGCCGAGGTGCCCTTCGGATACCCGTTGTGAATGATGCAGTGCTGTGGCTGAATCTCTGAGATTTCCTGTTCGTGACTCGTGAACGATGTCGTTCCTCTGGTTTGTTGCGGTGGTATCTGGATGATCTGTTGTTCCTGTTGTACAAAATGGGAGACAAACTTCCTTGGATGAGGCTTCATCATTTGGGTTGCCTGTTGCTGCTCTTGTGTAACAAACTCGGCCATTCTTCCAATAGTCTGCTGAGGATGCCTCTGAAACACTTGTTGTTCTTTCTGCATGAATTGAGTCGCTGTTGGGATTTGTCTGGGCTCAGAGTGCGTCTGATATATCTGTTGTTCCGCTGTCTTGGACTCGGTCATGCCTGTGCTTAGTTGAGGTTGTAAATGACCTGTCGTCTGCTCCCTTCGAGTCCATGTAGAAGTAACTCCTTGCTTCAGTGAATGGCTTGGGCTTGCTTCCTGCTGTTGACTAGTCGTAAACTTGCTGATCATGTGACCACGTTCAGTCTGTTTGCTAACACTTGACTCGGTCTTTGCTAAGAACGATTCGGCCATTTGCTTCCTCCTGTTTTGTACTCGATTTGCCCACGGTGTGTGACTCGTTGCGACAGGTGACGGGGACACGTCACGCTTGATCCAACTGCTTTCGTCCTTGGTTTTCAACAGTCCACCTTTTCTTACGTCCTCAGATCGTTTCGGCTGTTTTGGTTGTCGAACTGCCTTCGGTTCTTCCGGCTTTATCGCTGACTGATCAGTAGGGACCTCCTTTGTAATATCCAACAGTACCGTGCCGTCGTCTCGGAAGCGTATTATTTCTTGATGCTGCGTAGACACTTGATCTTCTATGATTAGAGTCTCTTTGACTTGTTTCACAGTGGCAGACATATCCGTTTCACCGGGTTTCTCTTCTGTCTTTACAACAATTTTTGCTGCTGGCTCGGTTACTGCCGTCGGTGTTTTGATGCTGTCAGTCATCACCTCGTGGTCGAAGGTTGTGGTGTAAAGCAAGCTTTCAACAGGCGCTTGCTGTTTGGTAATCACACTCTTCGACAACGAACTATTGCGTTGACTTTCGCTTTCGGCCTCTTCACGAGAGTGAAGAACCTCGGTCGTTGTTTCGCCTCCTTTCAGAACTGCTTCCGCTATTCGCTTGGTACTCTGAACGACCTCCCCCATGGACGGTATTGTTGAAGTTTGTACGAACTGCCCGCTTTGTTTCCAACTCTGTTCTGCGGCCATATTCTGCAGGTTAAAATGAGAAGCAATTTCGCTTTCAACATTAGCCAATGTTGCTCCAACTTCTGAGAACTCACGCTCGACTCTGTCGACGGGAGCCGCTGGTGTCTGCTCCAAAGTTGATTTAGTTTCCGTTTCTCCGTAGGTCGCAACGACTACTTGTTTGGTAGTTGGCACTCGAGCAGTTAGCCCGGTTTCTTTTGTCCGATTCTGCTCCTCAGAAGACTCTGATACGGCTTTGCTTGCACTCTTGTGGACATCAGTTCCGACAGTGGTCGTTTTGACTGTCTCTGACAGCTGTGGTTGGGCCGCCTTAGCCGCCGTGGTATCTACGCTGACGAACTGGATAGGAACTTCGGCGTCAACGTGAGAAAGGGCAGTTTCGCTCTCGACCATGACTTTTGTGCCTCCTGCAACCGCTGCATGTTCCTCAGTAGACACGCTGATGACCCGCCTTTCGCTGACAGCGGTTTGCTTCTGTTGCTTCGTCGTTTCCTCAATCGCTGACGGCTGAACGGTCATGTCCGCTCTGACAAACTGTACAGGAATATCCTGCTGACCATTGACCGGAACAGTTTCGTATTCGACGTCAATTTTTATACCTTCTTTGGCGGCAGTACTCTGCTGCGCCACAGCTGTCCCCGCTTGAATCGTTTCTTGTTCATGACGGAGACTCAGGCATTCTTCGTCAACGTTTTCCACGGTCGTCTGGTTTGCAAGAACAGTAGCAGGAGGCTGTTCTCGGTGAAACTCCGCAGCAGCGTGGCTTGGGAGAATTTTCGTTTCCTCGTCTTGCATCTTAGCTTCACCTTCTGCTGCTCGGTGGCTAATGACTTGTTCGACCTCCGACTGCCCCGTTCGTACGACGGAAACCGTCGTTTCTGACGGCACCTTAGGCGATGCTTCCGGCAAAGCAGTGATGCCGGCAGCTGTCCCTTGTGGCATAGTCGTCGTTTGCACCACCTGAGTCACGCTCGTAGAAGTTTGGTCTAATCCGGCACATTCTTCCGTTTTTCCGGTTGTTTCGATCACGTGTGTAGTAACAGTTGCGTGTTCCAGTTCTTTCAGCTGATCTTCGAGTGTACTGGGGGCACCCTGGGCTGCTGTTAAGGGCTGCGTCGCGGGAGTGATAGTGTTCGACAAATTAACACTGATTTCAACGGTTCCTTGGTCTTGCCATTCGACCGGAATCTTCGCATTCGCAGTGTTGCTTGCGGTACCAGGTTCGATGGCTTTGTCTGAAATCTGGTCCTCTTCGTTCGAACGTTCAGTTTCGAGTCTCACCTCTTTCTCGACCAAGTTAGATACCGTTTGAAGTAAAACTTGGTGTTCGGCACTGGCCAACTTTTCTTCATTTGCCACCTCCTTCCCTACAGCAACTTTCTCAGCCCCGTGTTGAGGTTCGGTGTCAGTTGACTCAGCAACTTTCTCTAGCGTCGCTTCGTTTTTGACGGTCTCCGTAACAACTGGTTCACAAACCTGATTTTCGGTTATGACCTTGGAGGTGGCCGTGACAGTTTGTTGCTGTTCAGCCTTCGTTCCGGCGACCTCGTGTTGAACCGTAGTTTCATTAACCGTGGTCTGTTGCATCGTCGATTCATCGGTCTGTGATTGAGATGCCTCAGCGCCTGTCTCTGAGGCTCGTTCGGCACAGGGTTGGACATCTTGTGACACTGGGATCTTCTCCTCGAGCGTCTTGCTCCCTCTTGACTCAGTTTTCCCTACAACCTCCAGTTTCCGCTCTTCCGTCTTCTGCTCCTCGACTTGTGGCTTTAACTGCTCCTCTCTCAGGGTTGCCTTCTGAAGCTGTAAGACATCGACTGCGTTGTCCTGTGCCACGGTAGTTTTCTCACACATACCACCAACCAGCATACCGTTATCGGTGCATCCGCCAATCAACAGAGCCGATTCTCTCGTTGTCTTCTTGATCATTTTTTGTGCAGGCATCTGACCACCGGCCGTGTTGCTGGTGGTCAGTGTTCGTGACGATTCGACGGTAATTTCGGTATTGCTTCCCTGGGTGACGTTAACCTGTTGGCCAAACATCTTGATTTTCATAGACTTTGCCTGTTCCGACGACGCCTCTCTTACCGTAACCTGTGAAAGTTTTGATTGCTGGGTTTCGACCTTGGTAACGC